GTCCAATATTTCCTTACTCATTTTCCTGTGGATGATCTATCCATTGTCAAAAGTGGGCTATTGAAGTCCCCTGTTATTATCGTAACGTAGTCTATTTCTCTTTTCAGATATGTTAATATTTATTTTATATATTTAGGTGCTCTAATGTTGGGTGCATGAATATTTGTAATTGTTATATCTTCTTGATGAATGGACCCCTTTATCATTATACAATGACTTTCTTTGTCTTTTATTACAGTTTTTGTCTTAAAGTCTATTTTGTCTGATATAAGTATAGCTACTCCTGTTCTGTTTTGTTTTCCAACTGCAAGGGATATCTTTTCCATCCTTTCACTTTCAGTCCATGTGTCTCTTTAAACATGAAGTGAGTCTCTTATAGGCAACATGTAATTGGGTGTTGTTTTGCCAATCAAACACTATATGTCATTTGATTGGAGAAATTAGTCCATTTACATTGAAAGTAATTGTTGATGGGTAAGGACATATTATTGCCATCTGGTTAATTATTTTCTGGGTATTTTGAAGGTCCTTTGTTCCTTTCTTCCTCTCTTGCTGTCTTCCTTTATGATTTAAGGTTTTCTGTAGTGGTATGCTTTGTTTCTTTCTCTTCATCTTTTGTGACTATAGGTTTTTGCTTTGTAGTTACCATGAGGATTACATAAAACATCTTATAGTTATAATAGCCTATTTTAAGCTGATAACAAATTAACTTTGGTCACATAAAAAAACTCTACACTTTTACTTCTCCTCACTTTTTATGCTTTTGACATCACAATTTACATCTTTTATATCATGTATCTAATAAGTTACTATAATTTTAGCTTTTTAGTGTTTGTGTCTTTTAATCTTTATACTAGAGTTACAAGTTCTTTACATACTACAATTACAGTATGAGTATTCAGAGTTTGACTATATATTTACCTTTGTGAGTAAGTTTTATACTTTTATATATTTTCACATTATTAATTTGCATCCTTTCATTTAAGCTTGAAAAATCCCCGTTAGCATTTCTTATAAGACAGGTCTAGTGGTAATCAACTCCTACAGCTATTGTTTGTCTGGGAATATCTTTATCTCTCCTTCAATTCTGAGGGACAACTTTGCAGGGTAAAATATTCCTCGGTTGGCAGGTTTTTTTTTTCTTTCATCAGTTTGTTTATATCATCCTATTCCCTTCTAGCCTACCATGATTCTGCTGAAAAATCAACTTGTTGTCTTACGAGGGTTCCCTTGTACACAACAAATCATTTTTCTCTTGCCACTTTCAAAATTGTTTTTAACTTTTGACTATTTGATTATAATGTGTCTTGATGTGGGTCTTCAAAGATAGACCTACATTTTATTTGATGTTCTTTGGGCTTCTAAGATCTAGATGCATATTTCTTCTCTGGGTTTGGGAAGTTCTCGGCCATTATTTCTTTGAAACTTTCTGTCCCTTTCTCTCTTATCCTTCTGGGACTCCCATAATGCACTTGATGATATCTCATAAGTCCTTTAAGCTATCATCTGTACTCTTTTTCTTTTTGCTCCTCTGAGTGATTTCTACCAACCTGTCTTGAGATTTGCTGATTCTTCCTTCCACTTGATCTAGTCTGATTTTGAATCCTTCCATTGATTTTTTTCAATCTAGTTATCGTATTCTTCAGATCTACAATTTCTGTTTGGTACTTTTCATATTTTTATCGCTTTTTTGAAATTCTCACTTTGTTAATGAATTGCTATCCTTAGCTCAGTAAGCATATTTATGACTGTTATTTTGAATTCCCCACTGGGTAAATCCCTTATCTACATTTTATTATGGTCCATTTATACGATTTCTAGAGATTTATCTTGTTCTTTTGTTTGGAACACATTTTCTTGTTTCTTCTTTTTTCTTGACTCTCTGTGTATTTTTTCTGTGCATTATAGAAGACAGCCACCTCTCCCTTTCTTGACAGACTGGCCTTGTGTAGGAAATAAACATTGCCAATGAGCCGCTGCCCACAATTTTGGGTGCCCTCAAACCTTTCTGCTTGTCCAAACTACTGAGTTTGCTCTGACTGGCCTGAGAAGATCAGGGCATGCCAAGTCCCATCAGTGCCCAGAAGGCAGGAGAAATACCTGTATACCTGTTCAGGTTCCTAGTGGATTACTAATTGCGTGCCTCATCAGTCCCCAGAAATAAGCTAAGTGGAAGCCCAATCTCTGGGCAGCAGCAGAGAAAGTCAGGAATTTAGATTTGTAGTGTAACTTCTATCAGGAAGAAACTGGGAGCTGTTTGCTTTTACTCACTTTCTCTGTGCTGGGCTAGGGGAGATAGCCATCAGGAGCACTTGTGTGTCCATATAAAACTCCCTCTTTATTCTCTGTGCTCCCAGCGTACTCATGAATGCTGAGTCCTGTCAGCCAAACATCATTTTTCTCTCTGAATTTTATCTTCTTCATTGATTCTTTTATCAGAGAAGACTATAAGCCACAAACATGTATCTTATTCCTTATTTCCCAAAATCTTTCACCCTAAAAATCAAATTTCTCAACAAACTCTATTGACTTTTCTCTTTAAAATATCTCATAAATTCAAACCTTCTTCTTTTTCATTGTCTTATATTATGCATTCCTTATTTCCTGCCTTAACTCTTCTCCTTTCTTGCAAGCTCCTATTTTTTCTGCAATTAATTTATATTTGTTTTTCCAAGCCTTTCAATAGATCTCACTATCAACATTCATCTTGTCACTGGATTGACCTTTTTAAAATATAATTTGGATCATGACTCTTTTCTACTATAAATTTCTAAGTTGGTGTTCATTTAGTTAGGGATATATACATATATATTTTTGTTTTATATATATATAAAACTATATATACATATATATAACTCTCTATATATAGTTTTCGCTTTATATATATAGTTTTTGTTTTAGCATGATTTCACTTCTGACCACCTATCATTTGTCAATCCTACACTGTCATTCCCCAAATGTTCTAGCTACCCTCAACTAACTATATGTCCTGAAATATTTTATTTTGTAAGCCCTTGGCCTTTTCCTTCTACCATAGCTTCACGCAGATCACCCTTTCTTTATCTCATTAATAAGGAAGGGAGAAAGAAAGGTTCACCCCTTTCTACTAAGCAGCCTTCACAGAGCTCCACAAAACACTTCTATCCATATCTTATTGATTGGCCCTTAATAACATAGACATACTTATCTTTAAAGGAGGCTGGGGAACATAAACATAATCTTTAGTCCTGCCCGAAACACAATCAGTTTTCTTTTAATGAAAAGGAAAATTAATAATGGAGAAAGAAACAAGTAACTTGCAATATTTCCATGATTTACTACTCTGGCTGCATAAATCCTGGTAAATATGCACTGATCTACACAATGCAGGCAATCATCTTTCCTGAGAGAAAAAATTAACCAAGTACTATATCTAGCTCAAATTCTAAAATCTCTGAGTGGAATAAGGATCTATCCATCAGGTCTCTGAGTGGATATTTGTGGTACAACAATCTGTAAACTAACTACTAATTAATCTGCACCTCACACAACAGAGAACAAAGATAATGACCATAGTAAAGACACCCACATGGAGAGAAAAAGTTGAAAACACAGCAGTTCCCACAAACTAAGATCCTGGGTAGGAATAGTAGAGACTCCATAAACTGGAAGCGGAATAAGATAATTTGTTAGCCCATTTTGCAGCCTCTACTTGGATTTACTGGAAAGGACTTGCTTGTCCTTTGTTCTCTGTGCCTTTATCTGGGCTGGCTGTCAGAGAGTATATGCTACATGAGGGCTTCACAGCTGCAGCAGCAAACTTCTTATTAATTGAAGTTAGCAGATCTGGTGCTTTGTTAAACATTTAACAGACTTGGTTTGCTTCCAGCCAGGCCTGGGTTTCTTTGACATTATAATTCCCTCTAAAATCCAACCAATTTTCAGTCTGTTTGCTAATTATGAGTTCCATAGGCAGATTTGACAGTCAAACCTTTTGTAAGAATTGGTTTTAAGTTTTTAGTATCTTTATGTATTGACATTATCCTGAATGTGCACATGAGGTTTCTGGTGCAGAGTAGATTACTATTTACTTAACGCAAATAATAACTATGTGTTTCCTCTGTGCCCGGATTCTTAGCCTGAGGCAGTGAAAGACAGCTGTCACACTCCATGTACTCGTTCTTTATTGCAGTCAAAGAACTGCAATAAAATAAATCTAGGTGTTTACATAGGAGAAAGAGTCTGTTGTCCTCTCTCCCCTTCTGAAAAAATTTCCTTGAAAACATAACGGGAACAATCCTGAGCTGTTATTGTAATTCTTTAGACTGTGAGTAAATTTCTCCTAAGAAAACAAGACCAGTGTCTCCAGCTTTGTAATTCACACTGTCTCGTAGTCCCAAGTCTTATCCTCTCTTGAAATATTCCTCTAAAGAACTAAATCTCTCTGAAGTCCTCATTAGCTAATCAGTCATAAATTAAGTTCCAGGGAGCCTAGACCCTATGTTTCAGTAAAATTTGCTCCAAAATCTCTTAAGCTGCAGAAGAATAAAGATTTTCTCTATAGTCCCACAGGTTTTAAGCTTAAACATCATCATTTGTATTACTTGCCTCTATATTCTGCTTATCAATCTAGTCCTCAAAAAAAAGTGTAGTTATATTAAGATCTCTAAAATAATATGTTTGAATGAAGAGCCCACATATCTACCACTTTCTTTCTCAAAAAGACTTATGACCTTTAAAGGATTAGGTGTCTCTCATCTTCCTAAGCCTATGATTTCACCTCTGCCAGTTATAACACTTTAAATTTAAGGAACAGAGGAAACTGATAACTTTCCCAGCCTTCAGAATTACAAATTACAGAATATTCAGTCAACTTAGTTTGGATGCTGTGAGTAGGATTCTCTTAACTTGTCCATGTCTGTTGGAAGACCTTCTGGCTTCAATCTGATTTTCTCTCTCTCTTAGGTCTTTACTGATAAAGAAGTGCAGACATACACCAAATTTCATTATTTCTTCAATTATTGTTTTAGTGATAGGTATATAGCAAGACTTCTAAAGTAGAATGAATTATCTGTAAAATCTTTTATCACAGATTGGTAAAGCTTCCCAGCTTTTCAGCCTATAAAATCTGTCGCCACTTCCCCAATGCCTCAAATCCTTTATTTAGCCAAATTCAATTTTTAAGTTCTTTTATTTTGAGTACTTTTCTTTCCAATACAAACTAAAGTACTAGTTAAGAGTAGGTTTGGATTAGAGTAATGTAGACTTAAACACAGTAACATAAACATACCAGGCAAGAAAGTAGTTCAAGTAGTTATGGTGACTCCATAAATTTATCACAAACACAATTTCTTTCTTTCTTTTTGGTGAGTCATTCATGACCTCACCCTCAAGGCCAGCTCCTGAGCTAAGAGAGATGTTGATCCTTGAGGCATTGTATCTATATTCAAGGCAGCAGAAATGAGAAAGAAAAGAGAAAGGATTTATTCTTTCCCTTATATACAAAGTTTAGTTGTATTTCTTTGGCCCTCTTAGTCACCTGTCATGCCTACATTCCAGAAGATTGGGAAAGGTGTTCCTATAACAGTTTGCGTTATAAACCTGAAAAAAAAAAAAAAAAGATTTCCTCACTGAGCAGAAAGGAAAGAATTCAGCAGTCTGCCACAATTAAATAAATTCTATATGACCTGTGGAATCCCAGAACTATCTTCCATTTCTTCTCTTTGTATCAATCTCCACGAATAAGCCCAAAAATTTAACAAACTATGGCCAGGCATGCATTTATGTACTTATTAGTTAGGAATCTGAATTTGTAGTCTCAATATTAATTTTAAAGTATTAAATGAGCTGTACACCAAGAACTCATTTGTTAGTCATTTATTTGGTTATTCATTTATAGTCAGTTCTAGCTTAAGCTAGATATTTAAACTTCAGAGATGTTAGCACATGGAAGATAATTGAAAGCCTTGAGACTGAATGGAACCACCACGAAAAAGGAGGATAGATAATGAAGAAAAGAGGTCTAAGAACTGAGACACGAGGCACTCCACCATTTAGAGGTCAGGAAAACGAGAGCTCAAGATACTGAGAAGAAGATAGTCCAACAGAAAGAATATGGAGAATGTGTTTCCTTAAAACAAAGTAGGGAATGTATTTAAAGTGACATTCAAATTTGTTAAATGGTCCTGAGAGGGCAGAAGATAATTACTGAGAGTTTATCAGAGGATTTGACAATGTGGTGGTTATCTTGACAAAAAGTAGCTCAAGAGAAAATGTGAAGAAACAAATTGCAGACAGGGGAAATAGACAAAATTTTATGTCCAAGGAACAGAGAGAAGAAATATTAGCTAGAAAGCAATGTGAATTCCAGAGAGGGATTTAGGGCTTTCTTTTTCTTCCTAGGAAATGTTATAGTTAAGGAGATTGGTCCTGTAGACAGGAAAATTCAGTGAAAGTATGCGGATGTTTGCTGGAACCATGTTCTTGTGGAGACTGCTAAGGATAGGACTTGATAAACAAGTGGAGCAGTAGATGGAACTATGTAGTTCGTTCATAAAGGATGATTAGATACAGACACTAGGACATCAATACCTCTACTATGCCAAATATGCCTAAAATTGTGTTATGTCACTGTCTTAATTTCCTAGGGTCACCATATCAAATTGCCACAATTTGGTGGCTTAAAACAACATAAATTTATTCTCTCACAGTTCTGGAAGCTAGAAATTGAAATCAAGATATTGGCAGGGCTATGGTCCCTCTGAAGTCTCTGGGGAAGAATCCTTCCTAGAAGAATATTTCCTGGCCTCTCCCTAGCTTCTGGCGGTCTCCAATAATCCTTGGTGTACCTTGGTTTGTAGCTGGATCACTTTAGTCTCTTCCTCCATCTTCACATAGTCTCCTTCTCTGTGTCTCTATGTGTCCTTTTCTCTCTGTGAAAAAAAGTGCTTACATTGGATTTAGGGCCCACACTAATCCTTACCTTAGTTACACTGCAAAGATCCCACTTCCAAATAAGCTCACATTCTCGGGTTCTGAGTAGACGTGAATTTTAGAGAAACATCATTCAACCCACTAGAGGCACTTATACCCAACTGTCATCTTTACCATTGTTTTGACAGAAAATGTTTTTTCCATATCAAATTTAATTAAAAGAATAATGTCAGCATAGCATGTATTACTTCCTAACTATCAAAATTGAGATATCATACCCTCTGCCAGAACCCAAGTAGGATGTATACAAGGAAATAATATTTCTCCTTTGAAGCCAATATTGTGCCAGTATTATTAATTATAGCAGCTGTGTGAGAAAGGTCATCTCTTTAATTTTTGTGAGTTTAGAAGTAAATAGCAACTGCCAACAATAGATGGAGCAATGCTTTCTGAAATAGATGAGCCTGATACAATTGAATAGATAACGTAGACTTTGCTTAATCTTGGTTCAGGATCTAGCAAGATATTTTCAGTAGTGAGGCTCATTGAAATACCTTCTTTACATGACATATTTTTTCAGCCAACACCTTTCAACTAGGATAAATAAAGTGATCAGGATTCTTTGCAAATTATGTTTCTAAATAGTAGTTGATACACAGACACTATGTATTACACTATATATTATACTATATAATGAATGATGTATAATATAGAATATACAATATTTATATGTAGAATAAATCCACTTATACAAATATTTGAAAAAATCAAATATCCACTAATTTATATAACCCTTTAAATAATAACAAACACCTTGAGTAACTTATCACAAAAAACTATGATGAACCACATATTTACCATTAAATGTACACTATTTTATTGAAATTAAAGTTGAGAACAATTGCCCATTAACCAAGAAAATCATCCTATATTTTCTCTATTAAAAGTTATATCCCCCTTCTTAAAAGGAAATGATAATCCCTAGAATAAATAAATAATATTAAATATACATTTATATTTATTTCTTACAAACTTCTATAATATTTTCAATGTAGTATTCTAGACAATTCAACTGCAGTAGGTAGAAAGATCTAGAGAATAGTGTTCTATATTTTTTGCCTGCATCCCTGTTAGTTCCCAAAGCACTAAAGAGGTATGGAAAATACTGAAGAAAATAAAAACAAAACAAACAATAACAAAACTTTTATTCCTAAAAGTGTAAGGAAGGAAGTAAATCACTTAACAAATGAATACCTAATACTATATTCTATAATACTATATAATGTCCTGTATTTCACTGAGCTCAGAAATAATCTAATTCTATAATTCCAAGAAAATAATAATGCATATGGGTCCGATTGACATGATACTACTTGTTGAACCAATTTAATGTGAATTAATACAAGGAAGAAACTCTTCTAAACTGTTAAATAATCTGGAATAATTAATTATGGGAGAAAATTGTTTAAACATCCTAACATATATTTCCTTTCATGAATGTTGTATAACTAGAATCTAGGACTAAATTGAAGCTAACCAATTGTCAAGATAACCAATATAGAGAAGTTTTCCTGCTAATAATATTTTTAATTAGTTGACATAGATGTTTCTCTAAGTAGTTTTAAAAATAAATACATATGTTGAAAGACTAAAAGGAAACATATTGCACTTAGTAAAATCAGGCAACAGGCCTAAAAGAGGTATAATGTGCTTTTCCTCACCATTTGCTTTGCTCTTATTATGTAGTCAATTTAGTCAAGATCCATAGGGTGCTCATTTGCAGCGGGATATTTAGCTCTTTCCACCAAATAGAATGATGTTGCTATCTAAGGACAGTAACAGTGTTATTGACACTTTGAAGAAAGAAAGATGCAAATCCTATGGACCAAAATAGAAGTACAAGAACTCCGGGATACACTGCACTCTTAAACGGCAACTTTTCTTGGTCTTCAATCTCTAACTCCTTTAAGCCAGGGAATTCTCTCTCTATCAGCCAATGAATTGTCTTGACTAAGACCACTTCTGGCATTTTCTCAGGTACCTGCAGTGCTCATTCTGGCTGTACTATATCCCATGGTGTGGGCAGATGGCTCCAAAAACTTGACTAATGCAGACAGCAGTGGTCTCTTTTGACACGTTGTGAATGGATGGTACTTCAGCCCAAAAATAACACTTTTTCTTTTCCCCATCTCAAATGTGAGGAGTTTTTATCAAGTATTCTTCATGCAGAGTGATACCTCATCCTTCTCAGAAATCCTGCTTCTTTTCAGAATTAGTGATGTTATGCTGTGAAAAAACCCTTTTGAGCACTGTATCCTCAGGACAGAACGAAGCTAAAAGACAAGGTACTGGGGAGTCGTTACATGTTAGAAAGCTGGATTTGTATTCATAGAGTGTGTGGATTAAGGTATGACGACTTTGGTAGTTAAAAAGCAAATAAACTAGAAAATTAGCTTTCCTTGAAGAAAAGTAAGCCCTGAAAAACTAAAATGTGCCATATGATTCTCCACCTTGAAAGTATGTATCAACAGCAGTATAATTGACACAAATTATGTTTGACAGGGAGCTGGAAGAATGCTGAAAAATACACTCTTCTGCTTTCAGAGAGTGTGCCAGGCCGTGCATACAATCACAATAGAATAATCTCTAACCGCAGCCCATTTATTTCTTTAATCTCCAAAATTCACTGTGAGACAAAGAGATTAAGGAATGTCACATCTATGCAGACATGTTAGGAAACAAGTAGAGTCATATATTTAGGTGTATTGATGAGAGAGCTGGGAAAAGCAAATGAGTTAAAGATTGTATTATTTTAAAATGAACTCACATAAAAGACTCTAAGAAGTCAGACAAAACAAAAACCAAAATCTGTCCTTCAAAACCTGTTTATTTATTCAATTTTAAGGAAATAAATTATATGTATATATATATATATATATATACATATTCTTTGGTGAGAATATAGTTTCATTTCTCTTTTATTTTCACCTTTAAAAAACTCTACAACATTCATAGAATAATTTAAAGAATCTCTCTACCCGTGGTCAGATGGTGTGAGTTATATATATCTCAAAAGCAAGAGCATTGTTCAGAGGCTCTGCAGTAAGTATAATCCAAGTAAGCAATTAATAAAGAGTTACAGAATAATTATCATATGTTAACGTACCTGAGAAGTCTGCAACAGCGTATGGGAGAGGTGTCTTTTGAAAGATTATTGTCAAGATTAAGCAAAATATATTCAAGAAGTATAGTTTTGAGTTACTGCATTGGATAAATTTGCACTATTCACACCTGTATTTTCAAGAATGATGTGGCACTTTGTGATCATAATAAATTAGTTGAATGACTAAAAGAATCCACTCTTCTGATGAGTGGAATTTAGGAATAAATGAACCTTGCTTAAGTAAGACTTGATGCAATGCTTCTAATTAAAATAACTTTGAGATGAAGAAGCAGTAGGTATTTGGGACCCTCTGAAGACCAGCGAAGAAAGACGAAGAGTACAAAACTACAGAGATCCAGACACAGTCAGGATTACAGCAATTGTTGATGCACAAGCTTCTTTTGAGATAACCTACTGAGTGGATCCGTACATTCAACATTCTACCTTTCGAGCCACCCACTACTTCTTGACAAGACTTGAACATAGTTAACACAGCAGAGCCTGAATATAGAGGGAACATTGCTAGCAGCCCCATACATCCAGCCACTTATTCTTGGAAGACACCTAAATTGTGAAAGAGTCTCACCTAGGTGCAGCTCCCTTATTCTCTGTTACAGAACCTCCACCACCCGAAGAAAGTTTCCTCTTTTAAGAGTCTTAGAATTATGAGTGTTCTGTTATGTCTGTTTCCCGCACTACCAATTTGCGCCCAATATTTAATAGTCATTTAGGTAGTTTATCAATATTTTGTTGTTATAAATAATGTTGCTAGTGAAATTCTTGTGCATGTAATTTTATGTTAATATGAAGAGTTTCTCTAGGGTATATACCAAGAAATGGACATGCAGTGTTATAGGGCATGAATCAGCAAGATTAATAGAGCAAAATTATTTTTTCAAATTAGTTGTGCAAAACCATAGGCTCACCAGTAGAGTTTGTGATTCCCCAATGTTCCATGTAATTATCAGTACTTAGTATTGTCTAACTTTTCATTGTTTTACCAATCAAAAAGATGGAAAATTAGGATTTTAAGAAGTCATAAAGTGGCCTGCATAACTTTTCCCAAAAGAAGAGCTCTGAAATATTTGTAAAAATTTTCACGTAGATAGACTAACTATATAAGTTTTGGAATGGTGTGTTACTTATTTTGTGTTCTCTATCTATGTCTACCTCTATATCTATATGTGTGTGTATAAATATATGTACAGAGATATATGTATACAATATTTTATGTTTTAACTCAAAAAGAACAATATGTTATGCTTATTTATAACTCCCAAGGAGTCCAGTTCTTATGTATTCTCTAAAACAGAAACTCAGTAAATATCTATTAATCAAGATGTAAACTCGAAAATACCTCACACAAATATTACTTTCAATTTCATGAAAAAATACAAAGAAAATATATCCATATTTTCCCAAGATAAATAAAAGATACCTGAATATAATTTGTCCCATAAGAAATTTAAGCTGCAAGTGAGAGCATGACAGCATATATTTGGTAGATTGGTCGAACATAATAATAGCTTAAAATCTTTGTAGGTAAGTGTCACAATTGGCAAAACATATTTGCATAGATTTTTAGCTATCATGATACTTAAATTGTGAGTTAGGCATTGATGTTTTCGCTTTACAGCTAAGGAAACTAAATTCTAGACAGATTGAGTTTCAGGATGACACAGTTCATAAATGTCAGTCCATCTATCTATCTGTCTATCCATCTATCATCTATCTATCTATCTACCTATCTATATCTATCTATGTTATTGAGATATAGTTTACATACCATAAAATTCCCTATTTTGATTTGTACAATTCAGTGATTTGTAGAATATT